TTGCCAAAATATGGAAATGTCGCAAGGAGGTTGTTCTGATTTAAGCGATGGGCCAGGGAATATCGCCGTCACACTGGACGATAGAAAACACATAAATGATCTTAGCACAAAAATGACCGAGATGTCAAATAAATTGCTAGAAGCTCAATTGGAAGCTAAGCTGATGAACCATACTATTAATGAACTACAAAAACAATTGAAAACATACAATATCACGAACATAAATAGAGTTGAAAATACACAGAACTTAAAGAAACATAAAATAAGCATCATATCAAGCAATAATAAAAAACAAATATTAAAAATAATTGAAGCCATTGAACCATGACAGTAAATATGACTATTGTCACTTTATAAAAAATGGTGCAGGAGCGCTTCAACTAGGGCATGAATATCGGAATCTCGGAATCTCGTAATATCGCAATCTCGGACTGCGAGATCCGATATTTCAATTCCGATATTGAGTGATCCAATATCGTAATATCGGAATCAGATAAAAGTTTTAATTGAGATTTTAAACAAAGCGTTTAAACTCGCCACAACCTCCCACAAAGCCCAAAGTACATGATTGGCAAAGACCAATAATTTTCTCATGTCTCTCACCATCACTTTTTGTCCCACTGCAAATATTTTAATATCTTTACTATTTATGGTTAATTTAACTTGTTCTAAATCAATTTTAGCATTTGCTATAGGTACTTGGTCAACAAAGAACGACATCTCAACTGCCTTTCAAACATTAATTTTACTGGACTATGGACCGTTAGTTCTACGTACTATGTGCCCTGCCCATTGTCACTTCAGCTTGCTAATCCGTCGGGCTATATCAGCGACTTTAGTTAGTTTACGGAGCTCCTCATTTCTGATTAGATCTCGTAAAGAAACACCAAGCTTATCCCTCTCCATTGCACGCTGTGCCCTATATTCAAAGGCCACGTTTTCGAGCCGTATATCATCATCATCACTGGTAACACACACTAATTGAAGACTTTCGTCTTCGTATTCGACGATTTACCTCTTTCTCGAATTTGCATCTAACTACCTAGCTGATTGTTTGTCCGAGATAGACATACTTACTTGTCAACAATCTTGAGAATCGAGCTCATAACCGAAACTGGGTAAGGAGAAACATGGATATTCGACATACGCTTCGTTTTTTCCATATTCATCCGAAGGCCTACCTGTTGGGAAACTCGATTAAGGTCTTCGAGCATTGTGATAAGGTCTTCCAACGGTTCTGCCGGACGGACGATGAGGTAGCAAGGTTCTGAAGTGGAGGCCACGTACCGGAAAGCGCAGCGTAGGACTCATAACCACAAGGTGGACCGACGATCTCATAAAAGTAGCGGGAAAGCGCTGGATGCAGGCCGCCACCAACCGGGGCCATTGTGAAAATCAACATCGGAGCCTGTGTTCAGCAGTGGACGTCCTATGGCTGACATGATGATGATGGTAGCTCGTGGTTTTTTGTGTTGTACATCGATAATCAAAAAGGAACAAATTACAAGCATATTCAAGTTTTTTACCACTCTCTATAATTTTTGTAACACGTGATTTGAATGACTCTAAAATTCGTTCCGCCAATATAAAACAGGGTAATATTATAATGAAGGAGTAAAAGTTTGTTTGATACTTGTGATTTTACAAAAACACTTTAATTATTTGCTAGGCCATATAGGCTCATTATCAAAAACCAAATGCAATGGATACCCATAACGTAAAAATGGTTTTAAAATACTTCAATTTTTTAAAGTGCTGTTTTGTACCAAATTAAAGATTTTGATTAAAATCATTATTTTATTGTAAACAATCCAGAATTCTTACGAATATAACCAAATATTAATTTTATAGCACATTAACTCAATTCCGATATTAATATCGGAATTCCGATATTGAGATCTAATATCGGAATCCAATATCGGAATTTAAAACCTTCCGATATTACATGCCCTAGCTTCAACTTCTTGAGGGTCTTGAATCGAAGCTGAAAGATTACGATTTAAATGATTTCTGTGTAATCATATTAGGCGAGCATGATTTCCATCAAGATCATTTAAACTATAACGATCTAATAGCGAAAATAAGAAATATACTAAAAAAGATATTGCATACTAACATTATCTTTGTTTCCCCAACATACATTTGCGGTTCGCCAATTTTCAACTACAAAGTGGAGAATTTCAACAGATTGCTATACAAGGATGCTAACAATCATGGTTATTGTTACGGCATTGACTCAAATCGAGACTTGACGTACACAATGTTTTCGTCTCGTACTGGAAAACTAAATAAAGCTGGAATGCGAAGTATACTAAGTAGTGTTCAAAATCTAATCTATATATATAAAAGAAAGTCGTGTTAGTTACTTCGCTTATAACTCAAGAACGGCTGAACCGATTTAGCTGAAAATTGTCAGGGAGGTAGTTTAGAGCCAGGAGAAGGACATAGGATACTTTTTATCCCGTTCGAAATTAAAAAAAAAAGTCTGCTTATTTATTGCCATTAAGGCGAAACAAAGTTCGCCGGGTCAGCTAGTATATGATATAGACATAGGAAAAAGATTTTTTCGTTCCTAAAAACGCTGTTGCTTCAGAAACTCCTGATAATTTCTACACAGTGAAAGACAGTGGCGCCACAATTGGAATACTACATCTAAATATATCAGGAGCCTTGAATAAACAAGATGATCTGTTATGCTCCTTAAACCATTTAGAGATTAGCGAAGAATTCATCACAGACGTAATCTGCCTTTGTGAAACGAATATGGAAGCGGGATCTCAGTCCAACTTGAGACTGAAAAATTTTACTGTAGCGTCATGGTTTTCAAGAAAACGTAAAAAGCGAGGAGGTGTGGCTATCTTAGTGAAAAAAAATATTGAGTACAAGATGATCAAGAACTTGACGGATATTTCACAAGAGCTAGTTTTTGAATGCTGTGGAATAGAATTAGTGCAATATGGAATAATCGTAGTGTGTTTATATACGAACAAGACACCAACGTCTACATCTTCTTTATTTTTCCGTAAGCTCAGTGACCTTCTCAATATATTATGTAAAAAGAAACGTAAAAAAATTGTGTTATGTGGTGATTGGAACATAAACATATTGATAAACTCAAATGTATCTAAAGAGCTTTGCGAAATTATGACGAATTATAATTTGAACCTTAAGATAAATCAGCCAACCAGAATCACAGTAAATACTCAAACATGTATTGACCACATAGCCACAAACATCAAGGACAGCATATCTAACATACATGAGCTAGGTTTGTCTGATCACACAGCACAATCACTCAAGATTCCAATAAAAGAAAGGAAAACTCCAAACGTAAAGTGGTGGTATGAACTACAAAGAGACTATTCACTGGATAATCAAAACAAATTTCTTGCATGTCTGAAAAACGTTGCTTTTTCTGATGTTTATAATTTAGATTTGAATGCATCTGATTCATTTAACGAATTCTATAGTTTATTTAAGTTGTTCTACGATTTATGCTTCCCTGTAATTAAAGTAAAAAGAACGTCAAAAAGGCACGTTACTTCAAGATGGCTTTCAAAAGGTATTGCAAGAAGTGTTTGTACAAAACGTAATTTATATTTGAAGTACCGCATTAACCAGACTAAATATGTTACTTTATACAAACAGTACGCGTCCATACTGAAAAAATGTATTAAATTCTCACAAAAATGTAATAACTTGAAATATATAAATTCCCTTGATAATAAATGCAAAGCTGTATGGAATGTTATTAATAAGTATACGAAAAATTCAAGTAATAATAATATAAATATGATAAGTACAAAGGAGAGTGACGTGTATGACCCACAAAAAATATCAGAAACATTTAACCAGTTTTTTATAGATAATGTCTCAGAGAATCGTGTAACAGACACAAATTGTAAACACTTTGATAATAATATAGCATGTGTAGAGAAAACCATATTTTTGAACCCACTTAGTGAGATTGAGCTGCTGAAAATAGTAAATTCACTCAAAAATTCAAAATCGGTTGGATACGATGAAATTCGAACCGATATTCTTAAAATTAGTATTACTCTGATAATCCAGCCATTGGTATTCGTAATCAATAGACTCCTGACTGAAGGTATCTTTCCTGAAAGTCTAAAGAAATCAATTGTAAGACCACTATTTAAGAAAGGTGCTAGATCGTCTCTTAATAATTATAGACCAGTAACTTTAATACCTATTTTCTCAAAAATTTTAGAAAAAGTTATGTATGAGCGATTGTTAAATTTCTTAGACAGTAATAATGTTATCAAAGACGAGCAAAATGGGTTTAGGAAAAATAAAAGTACCTCTTTAGCTACATTCAAAATTTCAAACTACTCAAAACGATTACCGATTGCCTGAACGATAACATTCCTGTTTCAGTACTATTTTTAGATATGTCTAAGGCTTTTGATTTTGTGTGTCATAAACGCCTTCTTATGAAACTCTATAAATATGGAATTCGGGGATCATGATATGATTGGATTAAGAACTACTTATCACAAAGAGAACAATTTGTGGAAATCCAGAGATGCTGTCCTAAGACCAAATGTTTAGAGAAGTACAAATCTACTTTTAGGGTCAATAAATTTGGTGTCCCTCAAGGTAGCATTCTGGGCCCACTACTATAATATTATAAATGCGAAAGTAACTCTGTCTGTCTGTCTGTCTGTCTGTTACGCTTTCCCGCTTAAACCTCGCAACCGATTTTGATGAAATTTGGCATAGAGATAGTTTGAGTCCCGGGAAAGAACATAGGATAGTTTTTATCCCGGTTTTTGAAACAGGGACGCGCGCGATAAAGTTTTTCTGTGACAGACAAAATTCCACGCGGGCGAAGCCGCGGGCGGAAAGCTAGTACACAATAAAGACTTTATTACTTATTACTTATTTATTACTTATTACTTTACAAAAATATACTTATTCAAATTGCATAGAAAAATATTGTTTTAATTACAGTTAATTAACATAATAAAAAATTTAAGGGCACAAAAAGGCTGTGTTATAAACGCCGTAAGCCGCGTCACAATGCTTACTTTATAAATATTTGACGCTGAACGTTTGACGCTGACGTCATAATATGGCATTTATAGGAGAACGTATTTTAATAATATTTTAAAATTCATCATATCAGGCTAAGGATTCCACTGCTGTACAAAGATCTCCCTCAAGGATTTCACGTTTTAAACACCGACAGAGTAGTATAGGTAGAACCACTCCCACTCTTATTGTGGATGTCGTAAGAAAGAGGCGACAAATCCTCTTTTTGCCTATAGTAAGTTGGTGTGAGTCGTGCTTCTGCAATGGAGATTACATGAAATGATGATTATGATAGTTCTGTAATAGTTTCCAATGTAGTTTTAACTTACCCAACAAGAAGAGAAGTCCCCATGGGACTTTGTCCTTTAGAATCGCCCAAGTAACAATACCAGGGGATGGCTTAGACGCTGCCAACTCTTCGTCTGAAACAAATGTTTGTAAATATTATGTAAATATCTCAAAAATTCTAGCACAAATAAAATTGGGATCAAGTCTAGAAATAAAAAGGTATACAGGGTGGAAACGATAAGTGATCTCATTCGATTATATCTAAACTATACAAGATATCGAAAAACTGGTTACTAACCCTGTAAGTGCTTCACAAGCTCTTTCAAACGGTACCAATAATAGGTTACAGAATAAACTGGATCTATCCGAAAATTCAATGTTTCCAGCTTCCATACATTTAGTAAAACCACATAATATTAAAAACTATACAAGATATTTAATAAATCAGTTTTTCGATATCTTGTATAGTTTAGAAATAATCGAGTGAGATCACTTAACGTTTCCACCCTGTATACGCGAGGTAGTCTCCTGTAATTGAAACTGCAGGCAAAAGCTGATTATAAAATAAGCCCAAGGCACAAATAATATTCCTATTCTAAATATACTTTATTCTAGTTCTGAAAATAAGATCATTTCTCAATTTATAGATCGTTTCATCCATGAAGACGTGCCCTACCATTCTTCCGCTAATGTTTGAGTGTTATCGGTACACGCTATATTATCCATGAGTGCTCACGCACGACGTAATTAGCCAGCTGAAGTGGCAATGGGCAGGGCACATAGTACGCAGAACTGACGGCTGATGGGGCAGAAAGGTTCTGGAATGGAGGCCGCGTACCGGAAAACGCAGCGTGGGACGTCCACCTACAAGGTGGACTGACGACATAGTAAAGGTAGCAGGGTAGTGCTGGACGCAGGCCGCTACCAATCGATCAACATGGAAAGCATTGGGGGAGGCCTATGTTCAGCAGTGGACGTCCTATGGCTGAAATAATGATGATGATGATGCACACGCACACTACAATAATGCCTTACGGATTGCTCAGATCAAACTCCCCGCACCCCGCGCTTCCCTCGACCAAAAATTGCTAGGGCACGTCTTTGTGGATGAATCGATCTATAATACCTCGATTTATTGTGCCCCTTTTAAAAAATAAGACATAACAAAACTATAACTATTTGTACAGTGAAAACAGTTCAATGAAAAACTTACAAGAACTAGAAGACCAGAAGAACTTCATGAAGTCCATGGACATGGGAATGATGAACATCAGCACCACTATGAACATTGATGTCACACCGTCCTTTACTTTCCTGAGGAGAACAGAACAGAATATTTTAGAATATTCTACAGGGTGTTAGGTAAATGGGTATATGAGCCGACACTAGCACATGTTCACATGGGCATATAAATGGCATGGTGAAGTCAGAAAATGGATATCTTCATTTTAATTATTTTAATTTTTATACAAATCGGATTTTATAAAATGTATTATGTATGAAAATCAAAAAAATAAATAAAATGAAGATATCAAATTTCTGATACCATACCATTTATATGCCCATGTTAACATGGGCTAGTGTCGGCTCATATACCCATTTACCTAACACCTTGTATTTATTTATTTATTTATTTATTTATTCTAGAAGGCTGCTTGAAGGCTTACAGAAAATCCAACGCGCCAACAAGTTACAACACCTTGTATATCTCTAAACCTTCGTTTATAAGTTCTACAATGACACCAGTCATAATCTATCCATAAATAAACGATTGCATGCAAATAATAAGAGCGGTGCAGCGTCGCAAAATCTCCCACAAAAGTAGTTAGTAATCATAAATTGTCACATTTTTTTTGTTTGATATATTTGCAGAGCGCTTCTGGTGCCATCTACGTAAAGCTTTGAGTATGGAATCGCAGTACTGTTTCTTTTTAATTCATTTCTTTTCGTCAAGGAATTTAACCACGGATCCCTAGCCAGAACAACAGAGCAGGGATGTTATGGATATCCATAATCGGATATCCGAAATAAAAAAATATCCTAAACCGTAACCGTAACCGATTCAAAAGTTTCGGATAGTTTCGGATGTAGGCAGTTACAGATTTTTTGTATAGCATTATACATAATTATGTAAAGGCATAACAGCCTGATTTACCATCTATATAATGCCATCTAGTATAAATTTTTATTACTTTTTATTCGATGTAAAGTGTGCGGCCATGAATGAACCGTGTTCTATACTCAATACGTTTATTACTTCCAAAATAGTGTTGGACAACTATTGCAAATTGCATTCCTAAAGCACAGATATCCGTAACCGTAACCGAAACTTTCGGATATCCGAAATAAAAAAATATCCGTAACCGTGACCGAAACCGGTATAATATTATTCCTATATCCGTAACCGTATCCATAACCGAAACTACATATCCATAACATCCCTACGACAGAGTAAATAATGGTTCTTACAAGTCCGTCATGACGTCAGCCCAGCCCCGCATGAAGCCTGGTTTCCTGAAGATGTACAGGAACACAGCGAAGATGAACAGCAGACCGGACGACTGAGGACAAGCAGTTATCAATTAAACACTAAATAAAAGTTTTAGTTTATCTGACAGATAAGTTTCTGATAAACTATCATGGACTTATCAATAAGTAAGTTAAAGCAGTGAAGTGAAAAACAAATTAAACCTACAGTTATGGTTTATCTGTCAGATAAGTTCCAGATACACTAACCAGGACTTTATCATCAAGTGTTGAAACATGTCCTAAACCTAAGGTACGGCCAACGAGAAGCGATACCAAATGTAAACAAACCCAATGTCATGGGTGAACCCGTCTGACTTTGACATATTTTGGCGGGAGAACGAGACATTACGACAAATACACAAGATGGGAAGAAACAGAATATATTGTAAACTCAACAGACGTATCGACCTTTTGTATCGACGACCTTTTGACCTATGCCTACAGGGGATGTAGTTTATCTGACAATAAGTCTCTGATAGGCTAACAAAGGACTTTATCAGCAAGTATTGAAACATGCCGTAAACCTAGCCATTTAAGTTTATCTGACAGATAAGTTCCTGATAAACTATCAGGCACTTTATCAGCAAGTGTGAACTCACCCTCTCGTGGAATGTGATGGGTCCCAGGTTCCTGTACTGCTCCTTGATGACCTTCATGGTGGTGGAGGAGCCTGACGACGCTAGCGCCACTTTCTTGGCAGCTTCGCTGTTTGGCCTGTGCGGAGAGTATGAGAAAATATAAATAAAAATAGGAATGAAAAAATGCAGTGGAATAAAGATTGTGTACAGTCGCCGTCAGATACATATTATATTGGAGCAGACAAAGTGACCAAATACTTCTGAACATTTTAAAATGTCAATAAGTTCTAAAGCCTGGTCCGTGAGCACGTAGAATTTTGTCCAATGACCCCAAGCTACCCATCCTTATCGTTCGCGCGTAATTATATTGCTGTCGCGACTGTGCGACGGGCGCCCGCAGTGAGTGTGCGAGCGCAACAGCAACATAATTACGCGCGAGCGATAAGGATGGGTAGCTAGGGGTCATTGGACAAAATTCTACGTGCTCGCAGACCAGGCCTTATACACTACAAGCTACCATTAATATCTGAAGATTCGTTACTTCATTATTATCTGAGCAGATGCTAGTCAATAACTTCTATACACACAACTAACCAATAATATCTGAATACTCATAACGTCAAGTGTATATTTTTTAAGCAGGGTCCCCGCACTTAGCACCAAAGTTTCGTGCTCCGTCACTCGCTAGCCACCATAAGTGAGAGGAAACTGTGAGACTGACTTCACACTTCTCACTTGACTATCACAGTCCCTCCAAGCGATCGCCCACCAGGATCTGTTCTCGTCCGACAGACGGTGGTTGCAAAACCACTCCAATTCCAACAGCACAAGGTATATTATTACCTGAACATGCCCATGAAGGGAGGACAAGCTGTAGATCCTGGCTATACAGGAGTTTTAGTTGGGAAAGTGTGGTTGGATAAGTACCCTTGATCTGTGTTCTGTATTCAAAGATTACATCAGTGTCAATATGTGTTCGCCTCAAGTTTCGTTAAGCAGCCTATAATGTGTGTTTTTTTGTGGTGAATAATTTATTTATTTGGATAAGGATTAATATCATGTTTATAAAAACACCTTCGCAAATAATGCATTATTTTAAAACAGATTTTTTTTGCATAAAAATGGTTACTATGAGCCAACCTTAAAAGATAGACATATACTATTGCGGACTTTTTTAAAGAACTTTTAAAGGGGAACAATCCTGTCATACATGATTTTTGCGAAACTTTAACCGTTTACGCAGCGTCAGCTCTCAAAAGGAAAAAAATCACTGATTTGAAATATTCTTGATTGGTGCTCCGCTCCTATTGGTCTTAGCGTGATGATAAAAAGCCTTAAGCCTTCAGGAACTAACGGGCTATCCAACACAAAAAGAATTTTTCAAATCGGTCCAGAAGTTCCTGAGATTAGCGCGTTCAACCAAACAAACAAACAAACAAACTCTTCAGCTTTATAATATAACTAGCTTTGGTCGCCCGCTACGCGGGCTACAAAAGCTAGATCTNCGGGTACAGCGAGGAGAGTAATGCGCTCATGGTGTCGCCCGAAGCCTCAGTGTAGCCGTCTAGGAGTTTCATACCGTTGATGATGTTCGGCGGCGGACGGAACCGTCCGCTCGCTTCACGGTAGGCTCGGCCCCAGGGGTCGTCGTTTCCAGACTCAGCGATGTTGCGGTAGAAATCCAGCTCTGCCTTCTTCATTGCTTGCTTGTGATAACGAACAAGCGTAGTTAAACGCCTTTCTAAAGGCGGTTCGGTTCGATTGGGAGCGACCGACAGTGCCTTTTTCAATGCGCTGAAATTTCCTGCCGCCGCCGGTATATTAGGCTGTGAACCTTGGCCTCCTGGAAGGCACGTTTGAGAGGGTGAGGCGTTCCTCCTCGCCCTTGAGACACTCGGTTTCACAGTCTTTTCACTGCCGGGCGTGACCCCCCCTACCCCTCCCTACTTTCCATCCCTGAAGGAGCGTATCCCTGGTTGTTTTTACGACCGGGGCCCTCCTGAAGGACTGCTAGGAGTAGGTACTCACCCTACGTCGCGGCGTTGCTACGTTGCGGCGTAGTTACATTGGCTAGGGCACACTTTTCCGACACACCCCGCTCGGTTTACACCGACTGTGCGGGACTTACACACCGCTATAACCACCGAGTTTCTTGCCGGCTCTTCTCGGTGGTTGCGACTTGCGAACCGGTGTAGATTCACGCGTCGCGAATCTCAACTCCATGCCATGGACACGGAGGAACTCCTAAAGTTCCTCCGGGCCACTCACCCGGAGGTCCTCTCCGGGTTTAAAGCCCACATACGGGCAAAATCCCTCGCAAGCTCCGTATATGAGGAGCCTGCTTCCCCGTCATGTCCCGAGGACGCCATGTGCGATCCTAACTCGGCCCCGCTACCAATCCCGCTCACGAACGAACTACTCCTCGGATTCATCGGTTACCAGTTCAGAAACTGAGTACAGTCCGCGCAGAAAAAGAACTCGTAGTCCAAGGAGGACTCAATCAAAATCATCAAGGCGTTACCGTTCCCGGAGTGCTTCCGAGCGAAGATGTTACACACCGCAGCGGGCGAAAGAGAACAATGCAAGCAGACGAAAACAAGGTGTAGCCAGTGGGTACGAGCGAAGCACACCAGAACTGGCGAAGACGGATACTGCGACCGGACGGGATAGCAAATGCCGCCCTCCAGCAGCGACAGGTGACCGGGCCGGTGCCGAGGAGCACCCGCCAACGAGTGGATCGTGTGCAGCAGCAGGGGGTACCACATCTACCGCTGCCGACAACACACCGCAGACGAAGACTTCTTGTGAGTACAATAATAATTCAGTTCCTCCTAACTTGTTAGTAAACTTTAGTGATTTTTCACAATTATTACAGTCCTTTGTTAGACCTAATATGCCGTCATCTATTAACCCTTCAACAAACATGATACCAGAGTTCGATCCATCGGTTAAAAGCCATCGTATCGATGCGTGGATAGCAAAAGTTAACGAATGCGCTAGTATATATCGTTGGGATGAAATGCAAACCGTACATTATGCACTTCCTAAGCTCGTTGGTAATGCTAAAAAGTGGTATCAAAGTCAAACCTCTATTTTACATAGTTGGGACGAGTGGCAGGTACTTTTGCGTAAAGCGTTCCCTACTGAGACTAATTACGGCGTTCTTTTATCGGACATGCTTGACAGGCGATTAAAATTTGGCGACAGTTTAGACGAGTATTATTACGACAAAGTGATGCTATTAAATTCATGTGATATTACGGGTAAACGCGCTGTAGATTGTGTGATTCACGGTATTGACGACCGCACTATCCGGGCAGGTGCGTCATCCGCACGTTTTACTGCACTAGAAGATTTATATAAATTTTTGAAGGATGTCTGTAAGGAACAAAAAGATATATCTAGGACTTCTAGCTTGAATAGGAATAGG